GCTGATAAGTAGATATATGAATGAGTCTCAATGTAAGATGATATCGCTCAAAGACATGTATCAAAGATCTGCTTGACAGACATTGGATACACCGTATCTTTCGTCTCTCATCTGCTTCATGAAAGCAACGATCGTAGACCAGCAGATTTGTAGTCTGCGTTTATCTACGTTTCGTTCCGTTAGTAAATTATGCTAACCAAGCATAACACATCTCTTCCCTCACCCTCCATTAACAAACTACTGCACCTACTGAAATTAAATTCAAAAGTTAAACTCGCTTTTAGTATATCCCTTTAGGAACGTGGCGAAATATATTTTCATAAAATATACTGCTACTATCAACTAATTAAGAAAGAATAACACGACTCCTACAACTGTTTCTCTAACGACTTACATCTACTTGAACGAACCCACCTGCGATAATGGTGCTTAACGGATTAATATTTCCGAGCCGTCCTTAGGAACTGAATGTCTTGATCCTCTCTCTTTCTTTCTCCCTCTCTTTCTCTGAGAAACGGACCTCCCTGCTCCAGAGAATATTGTATGTTAATTATACACACAAGCGCGAGCACACAAAAGCCACGTTGTAATTCCCGTGCCTTTCTGCCGCGATGCCGACCGTGTGGGTGCGATGACGAAGCGGCCCGTCCCTTAATTACCGTCGGATGCCAGGAATTAATTATCGTTGCCGGGAGGCCGCGCCGGTTAGCCTAACCGAACGGCTCGATTAATCGAGGATTCGTTATGTTTCGGAGGGAGACCGGAAGGGCTTGATTTGTCCGACGCTCTTCGATACCGCTTGTGCAACAAACGTCGGTCGTGTGGTCCATTAATTGCGCTACACCGTACATTAAACTTTAAGCCGAAAGCGAGTACGCAGAAATCATCAATCGCTCTCTCCCTCTGAAAACACTATGTATAAAAATTCGCGTACACTAACATTTCCATCTTATATCGTTTATCGAAGTACATCGAGGTTCGCGTTATGGAGCAAGATTTTTATTCGAGATTGTTTAGTCTGCGACCCTTAAGATGACACTCTTTCGCGACACTTGAGACACCTGATAACTTTGTATAATATACGGCATGATCATACGATATGTGATGTCTGTTGCAGTCGTCTGTTCGATAGACATTTTTATTACAACGTTCTTCAGACGATTAGCAAATAGCGTTAACGGGATATGCGCCGATATTCTCCTTTTGATAGGGCTATAAATATTTATAATATGTAAAATAATATCTTTGATAGCAATCGTGAAAAATATCGCTCTATGAAATATCACGGAAAGTAGTATAAGCGGTGATCCTCGGTTTATTTTGCATTTGTGTTTTAAAGCAAAGTTTAGAAAGGTCTAACTAAGAAAATTATACGTATAGATACATTCTTCAGTATCCTGACACGCGTATTTGTTCAAGGAATATAAAATCAATAGAATTAACAAGAAAAAATTAAATAAAATAAACAAATTCATTCACTAATCTTTATTTAGTGAATTATTTAGATTATTCAATTAAAATGGAAATATAAAAAATTAAAATTTAAAAAATGGAAAAATGGCAAGAAAGAGCTATTAAAATTGAATTAAATAATCTATGAAATAATAAAGCTTTAAAAGGTTTAATTTCAAGGACTATTTTTATTAAAATGTCTGAAAAATAGATTTATGAAAAATTCGTGGGGCAAGTTTGATAAATAGCATAGCATAATATTGTCTCGATAAACACTGGAATATTCATCTGACAAACACGTGTGTTCAAAGAATTTTAATCGATGGAATTTTAACAAGAAAAAAATTAACTAAAATAAAAAATCTTATTCGCCGATCTGTATTAAGTGAATGATTTAGATTCTAAAATGGAAAGAAAAAAATTAAAATGTTAAAAATAAAAAATGGTAACAAGGAGTAATTAAAATCGAAATAAATAATCTGTGAAATAAAACTGAAAGATTTAACTATGGGATTATATTTCTTTCGAAATGACTAAGAAATAAATTTATGAAAAATTCGCCATCGTGGCACAAGTTTGATAAAGAAACGCAGCATAATATTGTCTCGATAAACGCAGGAATATTCATCTGAGAAACGGATCGTTCCGGACACGGTTCAGCGATCTCTTTCCCAGAGAGGCGTGCGCCTCTGGTTTCGTGCCGGGTTCCTGTGTTTCATTCACGAACAAGCGCCCGAAGCGAGATACGGCGAATGTTAATGAGGCGGACCAGTCAGCTGCTCCGATCCCGCGCGAGGGATAATCCTCGCGGAAATTAAATTCCGGAATTCGCCACGGTCTATGGGACGACTCACGGCGAGCCTCTTTTCGCCGAAGAGACTCTCGCAAATCACGGCCCATCACGGCATTATGGAAATCACATGCGTCCCTCGTAAACGCGTTCCTTATACTTCCTACGCCCGATATTACAATTATGGATCGCGATCATCGTAACTGTGTGTAACGAAAAATCACGATATCGAGAGATGCAAATCGGGACATTTCAGCAACGTGCTGCTGAAAATTCTCGCGTTATTATTCTCACGATTGATAATTAATATAATGATGTCGGTGTATCGTGTAATTTTCATCGGTCAATGTCGCGGTTGATCGTGTCAAGTTTACGTCGTATCATTTATAGAGTTTAACGTACACGAGCTGTGCGAGAAATGATTGAATACGATTTGTACTGTGAAACTTGCACACAATCGCCGTCGGCGACAACTCCAAACTGACTTTGTACCGACTTTATGGGCGTGGAGTCGTAAGCGCCTAGCTGCACCCTATAAATATACCTATGCTATTCCACCGATTTTTGTTGCTGTCCGACAAAAATCTTGAAACATGAGACCGACAGAACTTCGTGCCACGCTACTATTCTACTGATGCATCCCTTAGGAGGTGCATTATCCTCGACCGTATATTGATGTCACGCAAAGAAGTTCACAAAACTCGTAACCAGACATTCAATTCAACCAAGAAACATATATAATACGACTATAATTATTGTTTTAAGTAGTCTTTTCTAATCTTAATATTTTGTACTAATAATATCACAGTTATTGAAATATGCGATATTTGCTCTAAAAAATAAGAAAATATTAAAATATTTTCTATAAAAAAAGAGAAAAATTTTGAAGAAAAAATATATACGAGTACGAGAATTAATCAAGTAATAAATGCGAAATGAGCCTGAATTCAATTAGAATAATCACTGATAAAATAATCTCGAATATTTGTAATGCAATTGAAATAGTAAATAGTAAAAGTGATATTAAGCACAATTCTGAATATATTCACCACAGGACGTTCTACGTACGGCACTGTGGCACATGAAATTTATGACCACGATCTCTCGGCTTGGTTATTCGTCAGGGACGATCGCGAATCTCAATCCTTGTGTACCGACCTGACAGAACTTGTTGGAGAAAGAAGGAGAATGCCCCGAGTAGATTCAGCTCATATTACAAAGAGCCAGTAAGATCCGCGCACTTTATCAAGACAAGAAGAAACTCCCGCGCGATTCTCGATGCAATTTGTCGCATACACGATAGATTCGTATCCCTAATTTTTATATAGTTTTACGACGCATTTAAAGATATCTTAATAAAAAATAATAATCGATTTTAAATCTAGTTAATTTAATTTTTTTCTCTATAAAAAAATTGTTTCGCAAAGATATACAAAAAATATAGTACTGACCATTCGCGAGTTGAATTATTATATATTGCGTGGTTTTCCGGTCGCTTTAAAAAACCCGGTAAGAAGTAACTGTCGCAATCCTGTCCCCTTGGGTAATTTTAATAACGTCGTGAGAAATGTGCGACTGTCGCAATCGTATCTTCGTACGTTGCCCCATGTGGCGAAAGAGCATTAATTGAACGGCGCGCAAAGTCGTGATCACCGCACTTCGCGGCCGCGAGAATCCGCTAAATAAAATCTTAAACCGCGATTGATCGCCTACACACCGTGTGCACCACACAGCGTGTCGTTCATTATCATCGATCTCGGTGATCGAGTACTCGACCCATTTAACACGAGTCACTTTCGCGTTTCAGCTATTCAGTTAAGAGACTGCACGACTTATAGAGATTAATATTTGCATAATAAAATAGACATTTGTTAAATACCACACGTGTAAGAAATTCACCAAAGCTCGAAATATATCAATATTATGCGGATCAGAAATTCAAGAACAATTATTTTCATACAATGTATTTCTTTAATAATGAAATGTAAAACCAATTTTTCATGCTACTTCCTTTTTTTGCGATTTTTTTTAGTTATTAAAATGGAAACTAATGTTAATTTGCAAGGGCTGAACTTTTAATGCAATTCTCTTGTGCTTCCGTGTTCTGCTATTACAAAGTTTCGCTGTGTGTTACAAGCCAAATGTGCATGTTAGCTTTAAAACCCACAGATAATAATACACACCGTGAATGTTTACTTCACGGGGATAATTCGTGGGTCACGTACAACGCGCTTTCTATCACGCACAATGAACATCAGCCAGTTGCCAATTACGAGAACAGTATAATTATACGAGTGCAAGATACGATCGTTTACTATTCGACGCGTGTCACCGCCTTAGAATTTCTCTCGGTATTTCCCAGCTTTCAATTAACCATGTAATCCTTATTATTATTAACAAATGAAAAGAAAATATGATATGAAATATATGTCAGTAGAGTAAAGCGCAATAAATGAACGTTTCCATTATGAACGAATAAAAACGGAATTAAGTTCACGGACAGAGAGATCCAGGAATGTACAGATATATTAGATGAACAAGATTTCTTCGACGAAAATCTGCAATTAATTACTCTTTATCGGACCATTTATATTTCTAGAGTACTTGTCAAGCGAAGCAATGTCGAGTGAAATAACGCGTCTATTTATACCAGACAATAATTCCACGTCAATTATTGAGACAACGACAATCGGAATGTGTCAGAATCAAGCAGAAATCGGGCACGAGCAAGTGACTCAGAGCAATTAGAGTCGATTCAATGCGGGCTAAATGCAGAGTGGCCCGACGATGCGGACAGCTTCCGCAGCATCTATGTCAGTCGGTAAATGCCTAGTTTGTTATACGACTAAGACTCTCTCACAAAGTGTGAGTCAGGTTAATTGAACCCAATTAGAACCGGGTCAGATACGAGTCGATCGTCTAGTTTTTTTTTAAATATTACCGTAATGTTATGCAGCCTCCAATCTCGTTGCTCTCGTTAGGACGAGATCACGTCGACGCTGACTACGATGAGAATCGTATCCGACATGTCCAAAGGTTCATTTTCGCATTTACGATCGATTACGAAAATATCACTCCGGTTAATGAGTATGATAAAAAATTTGTAAATAAAATTTATTTGCATAAAGCGATGTGTAACACTGTTTCTTAAAAAAAAAAAAAAAGAAAGAAAGGAAAACCAAAATTAAATTATTTGAAGAATCTATGTAAAAGAAAATAGCTTCGCAATAGTCGTGTATAGTCATAAATACAGATAAGGCTGCCTAGTTTCCTGCGTAATACTATTTACAAAGTTGCTTCTGCATATCGCAAGTGGTCCTAACTTTGTACGATGATATTTATTGTACTTATTCGCGAAACTCCCCGTGTAAACGTGTTTCCATATTATGGCGTGTGAATAAATATTAGCGTATAAATAATGAAATAACGAAATCTAAAGAATCTCACCAACAAAAGAAAGAAAGAGAAAGAGAGCTTCAAGCGTACTTCAGACTCTCTTGGAACATAATGTATCGTTTATGACGTTGATTATGCATATATCGCGTATTTATGAAAGCGTGTGTCCCGTGGTAATGTTTATTTCTCATTTTATTGTAGACGGTGAAGGTGACCGGTTCCCCCACTGTGGTGGAGAAGCTATCGTTCTACAATCATACGGAATGCGAATGCAAAGAGAGGTACGACACGACGTACAAGAAACTCAGGGATCAGAGAGTATATCGACACTCTTCGTCGCCCCCACAAAACATGAAGAAACCACCTTCGAGAAAGCCGTAAGTTCGCCGAAGTATATATATTTTTAAGAAATACGCAAACAAAATTACTCTCTGATGGAAATGAAAATATTATTGTCAATTCAATTCTCTCGTTCGTGCGTTTCTTAACGCTCTGCGAATAAAACGACTCGGACAAAAAATTCTTTATTATCGTGTAATATCGTTGCTATGCGGCAATGCCTTTTTGAACAAAAAAAAACAATTATAGATGCCGATGCCCGTCGGAATTCACGCCGAGGATCACGTCGGAGGGCATTTGTCAATGTAATTGCTACGACAGTAATCAGAATTGTATAAAGATCAGACGCGGAAAGGGGTACTTCTCCATCGCGGACAGACTGTAAGTATGTCTTTGCTGTTGTAATTTCGCGACACACTTCAAAGTATTCTAAAGCACGAGTTTAAAAATGCGACGGCAAAACCACACCGTGGCGCTTACATACTAATCACCGACATTTACAAGATAAAATAGCGGAGTCCGTTTATATGTGCGATAGGATAAAGTTTTACCATAACTACGCCTAAATCCAATTTAATTGCACTGCATCAAACATTTACATGCAAACGTAACCAAAATTTTTGTAATCTTGTGAAATTTTTGTAATTTCAGTAATCTTGTTATCCCGAAGCTTTTGTTTGATAAAGACTAATCGACTGCTTCTTTAACATTACTGCTTAAAATTATTTTAACATTCAAAACAATTAGAAAAAAATGATTAAAAATTTGATTTTGACTTGACTGATTAATTAATCCTGATCTATGATCTTTCATCTTTGATCGCAGATGCATTCAGAACAATGAATGTGCGATGCCTAACTGTGAATTCGGTGAGTATAAGAGCGGACCAGGCAAGTGTCCAGATAAAAGGGAAACCTTCAATGCAATGGCAAGTTCCCGAATGAATCAAAATCGCCGATTCAGAAGCTATATAGAAAGGAATCGCGATTCGCGATAGATATATACGGATAGCAAAGGAAAGAAGAATAACAATTGCATAAAATATAATTCGTGTCGTGCCAATGAGAGAAGAGAAAGAAGCGCGACGAAGCGCACAAGAATTTGATGGTGCCATTTTCTTTTATTTTTTTTCAAGTGTGACTTCGTCAAGAAGAGAGAGAGAGAGAGAGAAAGTGAGACTCATTATATATGTATATGTGTATCCCCGCGTCATTATGTATAAACTGTACATCGCCATTCAGGCCGCGCGCGTATGTCATCATCGCTTTCTTTTCTATCTTTCGTTAACAAGCATAGTAATAATATAATTTTCGTGCGGTGCATCGATTTTCAATATCGATTATCATCATAAGGATAGCAAAATATTTCGTTAAAAAGACGTTTACGCGAAAGTGACAAAAATAATTTTAATTCACGATACACGGAAAGAATTTTCTCTTAGAATGTATCTTGAAAATCATGCATGTAATTGTGGGACAATATAATATTTCAAAGAATTTTATAAAAATTTATCTCATTATTAATATTTACTACAATAAAAATATTAATATGTACATAGTAAATTTTACTACGTACATATAGCAAAATAAATCGAACGTATTTTATATCTCATTGCGGTATAGATATGTTAATAAATTTTTTGTGGTAAATATTAATCAAAGAAACTCTAATAAAATTCTTCCAACATCTAGCATATCGTCTTACAATTACCATGATTTTCAGGGTGAATTTTAAGAATAAATTTTCCCTGTGTATTGCGGCGGCTCATCGATGTGCGCGGTGAGAATAAAAATAATTAAATATTCAAGATTTTTGTGCGCATATGTCATTGGGATAGGAAAATAACGTTCTATACACAACTCTGAAACGATTATTAGAATAATACGGCGTAATGTATAAATTAGTAATTACATTGCAAAATTATCAGTGACGATAAAGTGCTTCTAGTAATAACTTTCGGAAAATAAATGATTAAGAGAGGAACTGCGTTCTTTTTTCGTGGCAAGAATCTCGTCGGTGGAAATAAGGACTCGAGAAATCGCATCACTAAAATTATGTAGATCTAGAAAGATGCGACACGTGTCTTTTACATTAATGGTAATTTTATGCGATAAGCGATGTCTCATAATATCATAGTTTACGCTGAGAAGACCTCGGACGCGAACCTAGTCTGAGATCCTGTTTCTGTTTTGCGTGAGAAGATTCACTTCGTTACATCTCTCTCACGAGGACTGTTTAAAAAATCTCTCATTCTCATTCATTTCATTCAAACATGACTTTATACATCAGGCTCTGCCCGAAATGTATTTACGGAAATAATTACACAAAGATAATATATAAAAATACCAAAGTCCGAATAAATATATACAGATATGAACGTTCACGCAGAATTGAAACAGATCATTAAATGTATCCACACATTTTGTATGTTATACATAATAGAATATATCTGTATTGTATTTAATCGAGCATTAATGTATAACGCCATGTTCGTTAATTTAATATTTAAATAGTGGATGTAAAATCATACAGAGAGGAGAGCGAGCTCTTCTCTTGCGCCTCTGCGCAGGTGATGTAACACGAGGAAGGCTCTTATACGATCGCTGCGTGCGATGCAGCCACGTGTATTTGTAACTTTGTATTTTCTATGTTATTAATAAAACAGCAAAATCACAAAGAATTAAAATAGGTCGATTGTGTGCATTGAATCGTAAATGCGTGCTTGGACTATGCGATTGTTTGCGAGAAAAGTAGCTATTATAATGTTAATACCGCCGCTTCTTTATTACGTGATTATAATAATCTGAGAATATAAAAAATATATATCGATTAAATATGTAATTTTTGTATATCTTATTTTCCCTCTTCCAATTTAATTTAAAAAAAAAAACATATTTTTCTATTTTTCTATTTTTCTAATTTAATTCTTTTTATAGTCTCTATTTTTAAATTTATTTTTAAATTACTCTTATAACATCGCTGTTATCTCCATTGTTAAAATCGTTTTTAAAGCTTTTATTTTGTATTAACGAGACACACGTTTAAATGAACCATTTCTGTCGACGAAGTTATTGGAAAATCGCGTATTTTTTATTGAAACTATGTAAATCATGGAAAAGCAACAAATATACATTTTTCTCAAAAAATGTGTCATCTTTCAAAATAAAATTGAAATTGCAACCAAAGTACTTTTACCCAAGTAGCAAAAAAATGTATATAAAATGTTATAACTCATTTTCAAAGATATTTTAAAAATATTAAAATAATTAGTTAAGTTTATTTTTATTCATTAAAACATTTCTTTTAATAATAATGTAATATAAATATTTATTTTATTAATGTACGTGAAATAAGTATATTACATTTATATTACATTAACATTAAAATAAAACTTTTAATAAATTAAAATTTTTTTCATCAATTATTTTAACCTTTTTTAAAATATTTTTAAAAATGAGTGTAAAGATTTTTTATACTTTTTTGCTATATTTGGGTACTTGTTTCTATAAAATATGATGTGTTATTTTCATTTATACACATATAAGAGATATTACACATATAAGACATATTTGTTCGCATATCTGATGTACATATCTGATGAGAGCATTATATCAATATATTGTGTAAGATATATTTGACCATCTCTCTTCCACCACATTAATTGATCTCATTCGTTTGCGAGATCACGAAGAAAATATATTTACATTACAGCTTCGCTTATCTAACGAGAGAGGCTGAACAAATTCACTTAACTAAATTTATCATAAATCTGCCAGAGATCTGATAACGATACAGACTCCAAATACATATGCAAGTCGTATATATAATTCTGTTTAATATATGGTGGTTAGATAAACGAAGACGAAAAAAATACCTATATAAACGAAGAGAGTCATGGGCGTCCGCAGGATTTTTTCCGCAGGTGGGGGCATATTAGATTTCTTTAATTTTTTGTTCTTAATTCTTTTATATTAAATATGCAAATAAATTTTAGTGTTAATTTAAAAGGGGCATTGCCCTCCTCTGCGGACGCCCATAAAGAGAGTATATATATATATATATATATTCGACTCACCGCCCAGACGACCCATGTAGACAACGTACATCATACACCATGATTGCATGTCACAGCACGAATCACGTTATTCCAGCAGCATCTGAAACAAGAAAATTGTGTATAATGCATTATTGCAGTTTGGATGAGATGAGACGAAGAGATTTCATTGTCGGCGCGTTTCACTCACCCGGCTAAAAAGCCCGATAATCGATCGATGATCCGTACAAATACGTTATCCCCAAGTCTAACCGAATAGAAATATCTCACTCTCCGAGACGCGCTATCGGACGTAGATTCGGATTTGCATACGAAAATGTAAACAAAAGTACGCGATCTCACGAAACGCCGGTCCCGCGCGCTTGCACTCACAAATGCAAATGGCGGCGCAAATGAGCGGTAAAGTTACCACAGTAGCGATACAGTATCGCCATCTGGCGAGCGTAATACGAAGTACATACCAAAATTTCTTTACCCTCGATCGATAAACGCCAGCCTGCGAACTGTCAAACGCGATTGTATTGGTTTTCCTAACCTCGGTTATTGTTACGCGATTGTTAATTAATTACAGTGGAAAATCGCGGTTTTTTAATCACTGTTTAAGTGTACCTTTAATTTCTAATACTCGAAGATTTTATATCAATTAATAAATAACGCGGACAATATGTAATTATGAAGCTTTACGAATGTGTTTTATATCTGGAATATTTCTAACCTGTTTTTGCATTGACACTCAGTGATGGATAGAGAAAAGGGTATCAAAAAATCTTTTATTTGAGTTCAGGTTGACGGCACGGAAAATACCAAATATATAAAAAAAAGACACTCAGTGATAAAACATTGTTAATAAATAGTGTTGAAGAAAATAGCAATAATGGAGAGTACTCAATCGTTGTACATAAACCTCTTTAGTGAAGACAAGAGTAATATCTTGAAAGAGGTCAGTGAAACAAAACAATATTCTTGCCTTTGTCTAATGAATAATATTACATAATTACATAATTTCGTTTACTTTTAAGCTGTTACATGCATGCGTCGATGAAATCTGTGGTCGTCCAGGACCATCGTATCATAAATTCATCAATAGTATGGATTGGAACAAAGCCGAATATGAAGGCACTTATAAGCTAATATCATCATTGTTACGGAATCCTGCCTCTCTTTACATGGTAGAGGAAAAGGTATAAAATTGTATTTATATATTAATATTAATATAGAATCAAATCTTATCAAATTGTATAATCTTGAAAATATATTGAAAATATATCATCATTGTTACGAAATCCTGCCTCTCTTTACATGGTAGAGGAATAGGTATGAAATTGTAAAGAAAAATTGTATTTATATATTAATATTAATATAGAATCAAATCTTATCAAATTGTATAATCTTGAAAATATATTCAAATTTCTTTGTATCTCTTTGTGAAATAATTGAAGAAATGATTGTTTCAGATGCCACAAGAGTATCATGAACTACCCGAGCAAGTACAACAAAATATTCTTACTTGCTTAAAAGTGCGTAGGGAACAGTTAACAAATGCTTTATTAAGGAAACATTACAAAAGGAAGCTGCCAACTGTAATCAATTCAGATTGGAGATTAAAGGTATGTCAACAGTCATTTTTACTTGTATTATCATTGGCTATATTTGCTTCACACATTCTTATAGTTAATAATGGGTTCGAGCAAAATGGCTTCTTTACGGGAATCGCTTCTTCAGCTGGATCTAATAGTTGAAGATACAGAATCTCGACATATCATAAATTTAGAGCTAAACAAGGATGAACTAGATACAGTGATAAACACCTTAGAAACGATTGTGTGATATATTTTACGAATTTCTTTTTTTTTTACGAACAAACAATGATTTATAAACTCCTATTGTAATAATCGTGTGGGATATGATAAAGGTTCTGTGATGAAATAAATACTCGCTGCTGGTACACTTTGTTTCACAGTTTATTATAGGTTATAGATAAATGTAGAATAGTTTAGTTACTATTATAACTGCTGATCGAAGATACTGGGAGACTGTACTTTCGCATCTGAGGCGGCTTCGATCCAAAGGTCTCATTCACAATTTTGTAGTCTCCGGTGCAAAATAAATAAACGAGCGAGGTTTGCCTCGACGGCGCCTCAGAGTGATGACGATCACTAGAGAATGATGTGGGTGCACAGATAATCAGTCTCGGGTCGCTCGTGAAGAATTTCAATCGATAAAAAGTTGGGTATCTCGTCGCCAAAACTGCCTCGTCTTGCCGCTCCAAGAAGATGATTGAGAAATTTTTTCGTTGTAAAGATCATTTTGCGGACAGATATACTTAATGAATGTATCGCTTTACTATACAACTTTTTAATCTTACTTCCTTCCCGTCCTTACACGTTAATATGTATGTAACCGCTTAGAAATTAATGCCGATCACGGACACGAGTAAACGCTCGGTCCCCACCCTTCATCTACACTCGGCGATATTACCGAATATCGGAGTTATGTCACACGTGTATAATGCGCTTCTCAGTTCATAACTTTATGATCTACACTACAGTCTTAATAAAAAAAGCTTCGTAGACAATAATTACTTTTTTTACCCTCAGAGAGATCAGTATAAACGTAGAAACGTAGAAACATCGTATGAAAACTTGAAAAAGGTACCGTTCCGGGTGGTAAATTGTGCATGTTTCGTATGTTTAAATTGTAATTAGGCGATATTTTAATGATTATCATAAAAATTACGATAGGCTTTTTCGTGTTTTTCCTTTCTCTCTTTTTCCTCCCTCTTTCTCTATCGAGAAGTTAGCATGTTCGAACAAACGCCGAATTTACACAAACGCATTCTCTATAGTCTAGATTATATATCACTTAACATCTTTCATTTCGACTTATTTTATATACTTTATCTCGTATGTTCCATGGTACGTATATACGTATACGCGGTATAAATGTCCTCTTTGTGTTCGTGTGTAACGTGTCTCCTCGTATGCTCGCAAGCGCCTTAGGGTATCGCGCCTATCAAAATCATATTAAAGATGTGCATAAAGTTCCTCGTTACAACTTAAAAACGTTTCGATTGTACGTAGATGTAAACGAAAAAAGGAAAATCAAGGAACGCGAAGGAAATACGAGCGAAACAATGTATCGGGTGCCCTCGACAAAGTTGTCGACGCGAATGCAAATTCTTTTTTCCTTTGCACAAACTTTGTCATATGTCGCTCAATAATCTTCTTTCGCTTTTTTTAGTTTTTCTCTCTCGCATATTTTTATCCTTTTCCTGTCCTATCTCTCAAAGATGCATCTTCTTTTCTTCTTGTTTCGCACTTTTTATTCCCTTTCACACAATCGCTATATCACGCACAGCCCCCTTGGATTTCTTTCTTTATATTTCGACTTTTTTTTATCTCTCTCTCTCACACTCTCTTTCTCTCTTCCGCGTTCACACTCTCTCGCTCTCTCTCTCATCAGAGTATAATAGTTTGTAATCATGGGAGGCCGTCATCCAACGAGTATTTCCCCTGGAATGCGCGACGAAAACGATTCTCGCTCAATCACCTTGACAATCTTAATCGCTCCTATCGCTTGTCCGTCGCGCGATGTTCGAGCATTAGACTTCAGTAACAATTAATGAAACTTTAAAAATTTCTACACAACAGGGCCAATCGTTGTAACGATTGCACACTGTCCGAAGGACACGGGCGCAATTTCGCTCTATCCGCGCTATAAAAGAATGAAACGTGTAATCGTTTAATCTGTGAAAGAGACCGGGTAAACAAGCTGTCTGCCTCCCCCGAGTAACCGAATATTCACGCGATATATATAATATATATATCTATATGACTTCATAAAGCCCATTTTTAAATAATTACGATCATTGAATCATTCCTTCGCGCATATTCTCATTTGCCCTGCTGTTAAACATTGTTTAATAATTAATAGGCCTACCATAGGAGTCTATATGCTCACGAAATCGCGGTCGTCGTTCGTCATTGTTCCGTTTTTTCCCCTTTTGTTGCTCGTAACGAAAGAACGTTATTTTCTGTTTAGTTGTAGGAATGGTCCAAATATACATATCTATATAATATACTTTTTTGGTTTTAACGAGAGAAAAGAACTTTTTTCTTTCCAAAATACAATTCGATTAATTGGCGCTTATTCGTTTATGTTATTTTGGTGGTGCGCATCAGCGATGATTTCCTGAAAAAAAGAAAACAGAAATTAATGGTTTGCTTATTTGAGTGTAAAACTGATGTGATGAATATCTAATTTTAAAAACTACTTACATTCGTGTTGCACTCGATAGCTTCGTTCACTGCCGCCGCAACTGCTTTATCGCTTATGTCGATCTCCTCGATGGCCTTTGGAAGGAAAGAAAATAAAACATTAATGGCGTTAATGATTGCTTAGTCACTATTAAAAAGGTGCAGTCGCGGTTTTAATAATCAGATGGCCCCTCGCTCATTAATCTTCATCGGTCAATATACTCGATAATGACCTTCAGCATCATTTAAGCTCATCGAGCATAAATGATCTCTTGGCGATCATCATAGAAATACAAAAATCATATCAAGTATGCAAGTATTTAGCTGAGAGGTCTTCATTTAGTTCAAATTGTTGCGTCTATTTCCTATTTTTCAAAATTTAGAAATAATGTTCTCGCAGTTCTCACATACCATTAATTTTTCTATTAAAATATTTCGTAAAAAATATGCATAAATAAATTCCCTACAATTATCTACACGACAAAACAAGCAATAAAGAGCTAAGAGACAATCTCTCCACGCACATGGTACTCGAAACGATCGATATTATCCGTGTATCATCGACAATGACTCACTACTCCAAGCTAATAATAGCGTGGACGTAGCATGTACGTGATTATAATCTTCAGACTGTGGCTAGACTGGGAATATGTATACATTACCTTGGTGACCGAGGCGACGTCCTCGGTGATAGCCGGCGCTGTTGGCGGGGAGGCGGGTGGTGCCTCGGTCGGGATTGCCGGTGGTGCGACTTTAGGAGCCTCGTCGACGCTTTCCGTCGTGCTGACGTCGTGGGCGATGTTGTTTTCTACCGGCGCCTCGATCTCCGGAGCCTTCTGTAAAATATTATAATTCTATTCGTTACGCTAACGTTTTTAACATTTCTTTTTTTTTTGTTTCTCTATATCTGTTTTTTTTTCTTTAAATCCAAACCCCAGCATGCTGTAAACGAGGACGAAAAACGTAAGATCGATTCTGCCGAACAGTTCTCATTCAAAAATCTCGAATGAGACTTTTTCCCGTGAATCACCGAACTTTATTACGAGCGAGTCATCACGAGATGCGTATAGCTTCGGTAGAAGATAAAAACTATCCTGAGATTACTCAGAAGTAAAGCTTAAAATAGCATTTTTTACATGTACTTGATTTGATATAAAGTGAAACTAATTATCAGAAATAAAATTAAGAGAACCTTCTTTATATAAATAATTTGTTAATACAGATAATAAAAAAAATTGCATTTAAATTTTAAATAACTATAAAAATGTGCATTAGAATATCTCTAACTTTGGTCTGCATTACTGGACAGTATGACCGAACAATCGCAATGGGGCAATTACTTCCTCGCTTGAAACGCACCGCATAACGACGAAATGTCTCGGCAGAATCGTTTCGTCATGCTTCGGGCAGCGTAAAGAATTGAAAATCCCGCTGACGAATCCCTTAGATATAAGAAAACTCGGCATGCGCAAGTACAAGATGCTTACGACACAACAGATGCAATTACGAGAACAGCACGACAGTAAGTATCGAGATCTTCTAATGATCATGTCTATTAAAATCTAAAACGTCAGCTACCACGCGCGTGTCATTAGTCCAACTGCTTTTTACGTCTATCAATGAGATTCACACTAGAGGTACCTCTATTTGAGCGCCTATGTTATATAATTAGTATAAGAGCGTTCGATATTAAAAAAAAAGACTAAATCTTCTACGGAAATGACATTAATAATTAGCGCGACAGCGTGATTGATCCGCTATTCATCGCGCTGCAAAAATACTACTACAGCGCATTAATTTTAATCGTATAAAAATGTTAATATTGTCAAGAAAACCAAGAGGCAAACAACACAGGTAATAATTGGTAATTGTGATAATAAATCGGGAAAGGGAGCAGGGGAGAACCGGGGAAGCGTCGCAGGTCATCGAGCAGCAGAGTAAGGCTTGTTAATCACGTTCGACAGAACGAAGGATGCACACGAGACGAGACCCTCAGGCATTGGAACACAACGGGGAAACGCATCGGGACAGAAAACGTATTCTGCGGACTCTCTGAGGAACGACCAGCCCTCGGTCGTGCACACCCACACGAGTGTCAAAAATGTAATTTTGTTCTCGGGACTCGAGATTCGTGCAAGGCCTCCCGGATGTCACTGTCAGTCTCATTCGATGTTACCCTTCGTCGAGAGAACGGGGCGGAAAGGCGTGATTGTTTGACATCGGTAGTTTGTTGGATATGGAAATATTTTAGGGATTCAAAGTATATGTCAATAATGATCGGATTCTGGATATCGAAGGGATTTCGAGGTATAGGAATCGGAGGATAGCCGATGTTTCTTTCAGGCGATAAGACCACAGAAACAGTAATGGTGCGGATCGTACGACGAAGATATATGTGGAACGAGAAGCCCGCCAAAGAATTTTGGCCAGCCACTTTCATGCCAGGAGATTGTGTTGCATGTTAGTCACCTGGTGATGCTCCTCGGAGGCAGTTGATGGGACGGTGTGCGACAATTCACACGACAATAGGACCCCTTCCTGGCTTTCGGTCGTCGCTAGACACTCTGCCGCCAGCCTCTGCTTCAATTCAATATCCGATTGGTCGTACAAAATCATTGATTCACTCAGTGACACGGGTTGCTCGCGATTACTGTTGTCGTCGTACGAGGGAATTTGCGAGCAATCTCTCGTGGTGGTTTCTGTCGCGATGCCGGATGCGATATTGACATTGGATTGTAAGTTGGGACTTAAAGGTGGTGTGAGGTATATGTGTGTCGGTTCTCTCGGGTTTGCCGCGTGCTCGACGAGAACTGGTAGCTCGTCTACGTTCGGAGTGACAATCGATAAAGGACAAGAGAGCTCTTCCGGTGGTAAAGGATAATCGAAGGATTCTAAGCTCTGCATCGCCGTGTCTTCGGGCGCTGGAGGAAGATCTTCCAACGAGAGGCTTTCCGGTTCGGGTGAGAAAACTTGTGTTTGAGATTTGCCGGAGTGCCTTTTTATAATGGAAGTTGCTGGATTATCTGAAAATGCTATTTGCGGGGAATAAAATTGCGGTTCCTCTACAAAGAGCATCTCGGATACAAGCGGAGGGGCTAAACTTGTAACATTTTCAAGTCCATCTATTTGCGAGTTGGATGAGACTTGTAAATCTTCAAGTATTATCTTTATTTCGTCTTCAGTATTGTCAGGCACGCTAATGATGTCCAATTCTGGCTCGTTCTCAATTTTTTCCTCGTCAGTATCAGGAATCACCTTGATGGAGTCGGTGGTATCGGAAAGCTCCTCCACGCTGTCATCTTCTGGAATGATCATTGCTAGTTTAGCTTCCACTAAAATATCTTCTGAAACTGACAGCGGACCTTCTTCAGAATTTATGAAAAGTTCAGTCGGTGAAGTTACCGATGCAATTCCTTCTTCCTCCGACGTGTATTTCGCATAATCGTGTTCATATTCGACCGATCGTTCACTCACATATCCCTCGATTTCTACATCCGCCAAAGATTGCTTCAGTTCATCTTTCAATGAAACTTCGGTGTTCGCAGAGGATGTAGAAATGACTTTCGATATTTCCGATTCGACAGCTACACCTTTGTCAATTAAAGGAAGATCCGATAATTTCTCAATTGATTCCACGTGTTGCGTGACTTCACTTGGAGAACACTTCAATGTTTCGATCTCAAAGTTTTCGGACGATAAATGTTGCTTTACTATCGGACAGATGCCTTTTATTTCAATCTCGGTCGACGGTAATGTTTCAATCTCAACTTTTTCGCTACGCTCAGTATTGGGCAGTACATTTATCTTCATATCACCTTCGCAGCTATTTATCTCGCTCTTTATTTGACACTCTACGACCGGTAAAGGCTCATTCATAACTTTCTCTACCGTTGAAGAAACCACAACCTCTGATGGTTTCTCGTTATTGATATTTAGCGAACATTGATCCTGAGAATCGCTCTTTTTCACGCTGCTGTCGACAAACGAATCTATCTCTTTAGGAATAAATGGACATTCCGCTTTGCTCTCTACATCTTCTTTCTGCGTAGTTTGACTATCGAGCGGTTCGACCAACTGCTTCCTCGTATCATGTTCCACTACCTTTGACTCAACCTCGACTTCCTTACGGTCACAGCTAGTAGCTAACGCCTTCTCTACCTTCTTCGCAACATCTTGAGACGTCTCGATCTCGATCTTGGCCTCTACCACCGGCGAGCAATTTACTTCCGCGAGGACAAAGGTCGCTTCCGTCGGGGGCAAGTCGGCGGAGGGACCGAATGATGTCGGAGACGCGATAGCGAGGACAGCGGATTCGCGGATTTCTTGCGGGACATCGTCGCAGGACGCGTCGAGCGGCGATTCCTCCTCGCCAGCAGCCACGGCAGGTAGTTTGAGCGCCTCGGCGAGAGCCGTGGCACTCGCTGCGGCCTGCCGTGCCTGCTGCAAGGGCGACGGGTCTATGGGGGTCGGTGGTGGACTGGACGGGGGTAGGGAGGGAAGGTCCTCACTGGTTTTCCTCTCAATGATAGACGGTGTCGCGACTGGCTGGACACGGTAGACTGGGACCTCTACCGGGTCCGTTACGGACTGACCGCCGGCTGACTGACTGACCTCGACTACTTTTTTCTCGGCCTCGACTTTTTCGACCGTCTCCTCTTTCTTATCCTCGACGGACGGGACAGGAGTGGGGGCGGAGGGAGTGGGTTCCTCTTTCTTTTCCTCGACCGGGCTAGCGGCTGCTGCTGCTGCTGCTGGCGATGCCGCGGCGGACTCTTCCTTCGGTTCGTCCGCTGCTACCGGCGCGGCTACCTGCTCGTCCGCCGATGGACTGCTCGCTGCTGATTTCTCCTCCGGACTGCTCGTGTCGGCCGTCGCATTCTCTGCCTCCTCGCCACCCTGGAACAAAACGGAACGCGTTGTTATTTAGATATTTTGCGCAATTAAGAATCCATCTCGTCCATCAAAATTTTAAAAATATATACCATATACAAGTGTATCTAAATAAGTGCGAAGAATTTTAGGAATTAAGAAGGGATTCTTATATAAATATATACTCTTATGTATCTCCCTAAATAATCATTTTTAATTCTAATGTATACATTTACGTGAAAGATATCGTCTGCTATCTCGTAACATTACATTGACATAGGGATAGAGAAATAAAGCACGTTTAATGTTTAATTAGACCTGATTTAATCGTAACTGGAATTCCTTAATTAAAACACGAAGAAATTAGCTCGCGTAGAAAAGTAGCAATTATCTAACCGTTTTGGCGCTCGATCGGCCCTGCGTGAAATGAGAGAGGTGGGTCGTCTCTGCGCCACGTGGATGCAACACGATGGAGAAAATGTTGGCTCAGTCGAGCGCGATATTATTTTTTTGTTCGCCATGAGGGGGCCGCCGACGATTGTATCGTGCATGCGAAGCACAAGGGTGAGGCTTCTCCGAGCGATTCGAATAAAAACGAGGGTGAACAGCTTAATGATACGTCGACGTAGAACGAAAGAGAAAGCGAGAGAGCAATGTGTAAAGAGGCGTTCGTACCCTTGGCGTGCACGAGGGTACAAAGAGGGAGACGCACCACGGGGCATCCGAGAGTTAGCAACGTTCTCACCCTTTAGGGACCCTTGGCAATCGTGTCACTGTGTCAATGAGCGTTTTTTTATTTATTTCTTTTTTTATCAAGACTCAACTTTCTGTCAACGCGTGAAATAACACGAGAGATTTATTCGCCCAGCGAATTTATGGTCGCGTAAAGAGCGCGATTGTGCAGCGATTACCGTGTAAAAAACGACATTAGGCACGCTGATGAAAGAAGAGAAGAACTCGGGGTATATGACGCAGCCACGCAAGTGCCATATCGTTTGCTCGCATAATTTCGTTATCAGCACGGTAACGTAATATGCAGATAGAGATGAAAAAGTGCACGGCGAAATAAAAGTGTGGGCACGTTCCAACGGTGGCACATGCCGATTATTACCGCATTATTACGTCCAGGAATTATTGTTTAGTGTTCCTGATACAGTGAATTCAGACTAACTATTATTTATTGCAATTATCCGATTACATAATACGCTCGCTCAATCTCTATTCTTTGATACTTGAGAACATTGTAGAAGTATCTATCAAGTTTTATATACGTATGATAAAATAAAATAATAAATATATATGATAAATATCTAAATAAATACGATATTTGAATGAGTTTAAAATGATTGAAAAAGAATTAGATGGGATGTGCATGAATACATAAAATCTTTACCGATTTATTTAATTAAAATTTCGCGCAACGTAGATTTGATTTGACAGTCATTAGTCTTCATGCCTAGAATGTGTGGAAAAATACACACTCTCGTTAACACTGCATACTTTCGACTCAAGGAATACAAGCGACGAAGAGAGCTACGAGACAAAATCAATTTTTGAAACCCGAGAGGGAAATAGAAACCGGACGTGAGAAACGCGTCATGAGCTTTTTATTGTCCCGCGTTCCATATCGATCGTCGAACGACGACTCCCTCATACCTGCAGATTTTCCTGAAGGATATAAGCTTCCCCGGCTTAGAGAATTACAACGACGCCCAACGAAATGGCCCTTAAAGGTATTTGTAGCTTTTAGATTTTGCTTATACCTTAGAATCACGATGGTATTATATTTGTAAAGAAAACTTTTCTTACGTAAGACGATGTTTCTGATATACAATACAACGTAAGAGATTATATTCGATATCGCTTCGAGTAAAATTCCCCGGCACACATTATCCGTATTTACGACGTTGCGTTTTCTTTGGAAAAGAAATACACTGTGGGGGGATTACAAAGATTTTATTGTCAGGCGTGTAATAATTCTCTGTAGCCAATTTCAAAGAAACTGTGCTTCACGTTTAATTACAAAAATATTCATAAGAGCGACGTCAAGTGTCCCGAAAATACGTGACCGAATTTTCTAGCTCTAAATTTCGCTCGGAACTTTCCCGAGATACTTCCGCTTCCGTCTCGAGTCGCCGCCGATATTTAATTGCAAAGCGACCGAGGTGAAAGCGACCGTAAATGGCTCGCGTCGCGAGAATTTTGGCCTAACACCAAAAGATAAAAACGCACAACAAAAACTGGCGAGTGGCCAGGGTCGTGTAAAGAGAGAGCATTGTCCGCTACGGAGGCGAGTACATCAAGGTAATGAACTTCCGGTTGCGCGGCGCTCTCTTACGTCGAAATCGATCGAGAAATTGCCCGCTTCCCTACATACGAATTACTGTTGGCCGAGGACCAATTTTGAGTGGGTTAACGTCAACTGTATATAAGACGGGCCAAAAGAAACTTGCATATTTTTGTATATGCAAAGGAAAATGCATCTTTCGATGCAACAAAAATGTGCAGCTAATTCTTTCTAACAAGAAACCCTAATTAAATTTATAATTAAATTCATTTTATTTTCATCACTTTTCTAGCTTCATTGTACGAATATTTTCAAAGCAAATGAATTATTAAATAACAGCATTATATCCCATTGTTATAATAATTTTACGAAATTTATCCGACTTGAAAAACATTACCAAGAAAAAGAATGCATTTTGCATTCAGGGAATCCTATGAATAGCAAATGCATTCATCACAAAAGTAGCAAACAAGGAAAGCCTCTTTCGACGCATAATACTTTACGTCGGTTTCGAACGATGCTTATATTATTATTCTATATTTAAATGCGAAAAGCGCAGTTTCCGACAATTTTAGCTATTTGAAAGCTAGCCAAGGAAAATCAAGTTATTCATGCGGTGAATTATTTATCTTTCAATGTCGTCAGAGAGAAGATGCAGTAATACGTATCAATTTACAACGATTTTACCGGCAAGTGTACCGTTTATAGCTGCGCTATTAACATTACGGGCTAAACGCGTTTTCCAGGGAACGAAAGTGAGTTAATTTCGCGTTGAGGAACGCTAAATTTTTGATCATCTTGTGAAACGGTCGTGAATGAGCGAACGAACGGTGGAGACTTCTCTCAGGAAGAGCCTAACGAAGTTATGCCCGTAACTTTTATACCTTCACGAGGAACATTAGAAATGCATTAGCTCTCTCGCTCACGAATGCCTACCTCGGACGATCCTTGGCTGACATGCGATCCCTCGCAACAAAATATTCGCCCATCTTCACCCTCCAATTTCTGGAAAATTCGATAAGTTCTCGCGAGGGGAAAAAAATCTCGGGAAATCTGCGTAAAATCGCTCTTCGAAAATCTTATTTAAAAAATTGTTAAATCCGAATGGTTATCTGTCAATTCTTTTCTATTCTTCTGCAATATTTTCAGCATAAAAAATCGTAATAAAAAGAGTTGAAAAAATTCCTTTGGCACATGTTGCAATATCGCGTCACGTTCATCCAACCGTGCGAATTATCCTATCTGCCATCGCGAACGAGGACAGCTGGCACTCGCCGATACCGAAATCAATTTCCTGTTGAAAAAATTAGCTGGAGCAACATGACTCGTGGAAATAATCGCGTTAACGACTGTCACACGTCCCGTCACTCTGATATACGTACGGATTACGTTTTAGCAACAGTAAACGAGTAAACCAGTTTTCGAAACATCGATGTTGCGGATCAACAATTTCGCTGCAAAAATCTCTACCGAGTTTTCATTAAAAAAATTAATTCTTCAAGTCGCAACAGTATAACGAATGATCGTTATTAAATATAATTCTAATCTGTTAGTTTCCTTCGCGATACGTGAGGTCTCCGACAGTTTTACAGGACGAAAATAGAAAACATAATAGCCAGTATACACCATCGGCGTACCGGAAGTAATCTCGCGTATTTAACGAGCGTGACTTAGACAATGGCTACGCTAATGATTCGCAGGTGTTTCGCGGGAGAGACTCATTGACGTATCGGCGGTGTTCCGGCAAACGACGACATATTCATCGGACATGCCTCGTAGTATTATGCGTGAGCAACCCGTTGCCGTCCCTTTTACTATCGATACACGCCAGGTATATCGATATTAATGCTTGCAAGACGGCGCGAGATGTAGGTACGCGAGCAACACACCATCGTTTGTTTTAGCTTCTCCAACTATTCTTTCGCTGGATATAAATTATGGGTATTTATCCGGTTCACCGGAGCATGTTAGCTGGCAATATCACCCGCACCGTCCAACAACGTAAACGCGATTGGCAAGAGAGAGAGAGAGAAAGTATATTCGATGTATGCATGAAAAACACCGATAGTCCTAGAGAAAGAATAAGAGAGAAATCGTCCATTGTTCGACTGTATCTGCGCATCGATATGAAACGTTTCGAAATGCTTGTCGTACCATTTCCACCGCGTGCACGACAATTTCACCATTGATGCGATTGCAAGATAAATCGATGATCGATGATCGATCTGGCGATCTACTTACGCTTGCTTCCCACAGAGTACCGTACAGCGGCATGAAATTGGGGTTTCGTGAAAATATTGGACATTGAAGTGACAGCATTGATTATTATTTTTCTTTCCTTCGGGGAAGAATATTTTGCATGCAAAATTAATAGATTTAATGTACATCATATTATGCACGGAATTTTCTCTGAAAATTTACCCAGAAAATCATGGTAATCGTGGGATAATATGGTATTGGAAGAATTTTATAAGAGTTTTCCTGATTAATATTTACCATATTAAAAAATATTAATTAGAAAAATTGAGAGAAATTAATTGCAGTACAATTATTGGAGTACAATTTAATCTGCATATACACAGAGAATTTTCTCTGAAAATCAAGGTAATCGTAAAACAATAAATCTATTCTATTTTCTATCTTATTATGATATAGATATTTAATTAGAAAAACTCGTAAAATTCTTCCAATACCATATATTGTCTCACGATTACCATGATTTTCGGGGTAAATTTTAAGA